GAAGTAAAGGATGCGATAAAAGAGAAAAAAGGTAGTTTATGAGAGGTTTTTACAAAGCAAAAGTGTTATAAGAAGAGCAGAGTATATGGAGAGTAAAAGAAAGGTGAAGAGAGTGGTGAGAGAGTGCAAAAGGAGAGTGGATGATAGAGTGGGAGAGGCACTGTCAAGAAATTTTAATGAAAATAAGAAAAAAATTTGGAGTGAGTTAAACAAGTTAACCTTTAAACTGTCCAAACGTAGATCTACGTTTTTTCAACATTTAAAAGTATGTAAAAAAAATAGATTTTTTTTACATTTGAAAACGTGTAAAACAACTTTGATCTACGTTTTTTTTTTTTTGTTATATTTGACAATATGCAAAAAAAAAAAAACGTAGATCTACTTTTGTAGCACTACGCATGTGAACGTAGATCACCTTGGACAGTTTAAGAGTTAAGAAAGCCTAGGGAACGAATGGATTTATCAGTTAAAAACAGAGTAGGGGAGTTAGTAGATGGGGAGATGGAGGTATTAGGTAGATGACGAGAATATTTTGAGGAACTTATAAATGTCGACGAAGAAAGGAAGGCGGTAAATTCATGCACTGGCCAGGGAGGTATACCATCTTTTAGGAGTGAAGAAGAGCAGGATGTGAGTGTGGGGGAGGTACGTGAGGCATTACGTAGAATGAAAGGGGGTAAAGCAGCTGGAACTGATGGGATCATGACAGAAATATTAAAAGCAGGGGGGATATAGTGTTGGAGTGGTTGGTATTTTTGTTTAATAAATGAATGAAAGAGGGGAAGGTACCTTGGGATTGGCGGAGAGCATGTATAGTCCCTTTATATAAAGGGAAGGGGACAAAAGAGATTGTAAAAATTATAGAGGAATAAGTTTACTGAGTATACCAGGAAAAGTGTACTGTACGGTTATTATTGAAAGAATTAGAGGTAAGACAGAATGTAGAATTGCGGTATGAGCAAGGAGGTTTTAGAGTGGGTAGGGGATGTGTAGATCAAGTGTTTACATTGAAGCATATATGTGAACATTATTTAGATAAAGGTAGGGAAGTTTTTATTGCATTTATGGATTTAGAAAAGGCATATGATAGAGTGGATAGAGGAGCAATGTGACAGATGTTGCAAGTATATGGAATAGGTGGTAAGTTATTAAATGCTGTTAAGAGCTTTTATGAGGATAGTGAGGCTCAGGTTAGGGTGTGTAGAAAAGAGGGAGACTACTTCCCGGTAAAAATAGGTCTTAGACAGGGATGTGTAATGTCACCATGGTTGTTTAATATATTTATAGATGGGGTCGTAAAAGAAGTAAATGCTAGGGTGTTTGGAAGAGGGGTGGGATTAAATTATGGGGAATCAAATACAAAATGGGAAGTGACACAGTTACTTTTTGCTGATGATACTGTGCTTATGGGAGATTCTAAAGAAAAATTGCAAAGGTTAGTGGACGAATTTGGGAGTGTGTGTAAAGGTAGAAAGTTGAAAGTGAAAAACTGGATATGAAATTGGGGAGGAGGAGTATGGAAGAAGTGAATGTTTTCAGATATTTGGGAGTTGACGTGTCAGCAGATGGATTTATGAAGAATGAGGTTAATCATAGAACTGATGGAGGAAAAAAGGTGAGTGGTGCATTGAGGTATATGTGGAGACAAAAAAATGTTATCTATGGAGGCAAAGAAGGGAATGTATGAAAGTATAGTAGTACCAACACTCTTATATGGGTGTGAAGCTTGGGTTGTAAATGCTGCTGCGAGGAGGCGGTTGGAGGCAGTGGAGATGTCCTGTCTAAGGGCTATTTGTGGTGTAAATATTATGCAGAAAATTCGGAGTGTGGAAATTAGGAGAAGGTGTGGAGTTGATAAAAGTATGAGTCAAAGGGCTGAAGGGGGGTTGTTGAGGTTGTTTGGTCATTTAGAGAAAATGGATCAAGGTAGAATGACATGGAGAGCGTATAAATCTGTAGGGGAAGGAAGGCAGGGTAGGGGTCGTCCTCGAAAAGGTTGGAGGGAGGGGGTAAAGGAGGTTTTGTGGGCGAGGGGCTTGGACTTCCAGCAAGTGTGCGTGAGCGTGTTAGATAGGAGTGAATGGAGATGAATGGTATTTGGGACTTGACGAGCTGTTGGAGTGTGAGGAGGGTAATATTTAGTGAAGGGATTCAGGGAAACCGGTTATTTTATATAACCGGACTTGAGTTCTGGAACCTTAAAGGAGGGGTTTGGGATATTGGCAGTTTGGAGGGGTATGTTGTGTATCTTTATACGTATATACTTCTAAACTGTTGTATTCTGAGCACCTCTGCAAAAACAGTGATTATGTGCGAGTGAGGTGAAAGTGTTGAATGATGAAAGTATTTTCTCTTTGGGGATTTTCTTTCTTTTTGGGTCACCCTGCCTCGGTGGGAGAAGGCCGACTTGTTAAATATATATATATATATATATATATATATATATATATATATATATATATATATATATATTATATATATATATATATATTATATATCCAAGAAGAAGCGCTTAACCCTAGGGGTAACATAGCGGCGTTGCTGTAATATTTAAAGAACATAACGATATCATTAACATAATTATAACGTTATAATTATGTTAATGATAGAACATTTCATACTCCTCTCACAACTAAGGGAGGATTCCTGCTAAATGCATATTTATTTTGTAAACACTGCCAAAACAAACTCATTTACTTATTAACTTGGCAACGCAGACAACGGTATAAATTGCATCATAAGTCCGCTGTGACGATAATAATGAAAGAACTCAATTAGCATGCCGCCTACAGTAGTTAAAAGGCACATTTAGCTGAACAAACTCTTCTGACAATGTCACGAGTAATAGAGCGTCAGTAGAGATAAAACTCTATATGCATCGAAGTTGTGGCCGTATACAAGCGTGTTCTGCTATCTATATTTTTCTTCTCACAAAAACTGAGCCGACAAATAATTTCTGGGGGCACCAGCGAGGCTAAGGACGATTGAGATAGGTTGATATTGTTGTCCGAAAAAGTGATTTGATACAATTTAATTTGGACATAGGTCAAGTTCAAAAATCTTTGGGGAGGGGGGGGTGAAAAATAGCGGTATTTCTAAACTAATATTTATAAACTAGCGTCGTAGTTCTGGTCTCTATTGAATAAAAACAAAACATATACAGTAGTGAACATACAGAGAAAGATCAAATAAATTTTCTTTTCTCTGCCTCTACAGAAATACTTTAAAAGCATTAAGCTTTTACTGTCTGGAAAGAATTCGAGGAGATATAATTGAATTTTATGAAAACATAACAAATATAAGCAATATAAATAAAGTCCTGAATATATCTACGCAAGACATAAAGAGGAGTAATGAATTTAAATGGATAAATTTGTTTTAAAAAGAGTAATCATATCTTTCTTTACTACATGCACATGTACATGGTATACAGTCCGAGCTGACGTCAATGACCTGATACTATATTTCGGGAAAATTAAGTCAGTTTTGTCCCAGGATGCGACCCACACCAGTCAACTAACACCCAGGTACCCATTTTACTGATGGGTGAACATAGACGCCCAATGTTTCTACACTCGCTGGGAATCGAGAGCTTTTTAGCCACCAGGTCACGGGCAAGCTTATATATAAGACAGCACTGGTTTGGCAGTAGACTTTGAGATGAGGGGAGCAAACTGCCAAGTAGCGTCACTGAAGTGAGCACTTTGGGTAGCCGTAAAAATAGGTTGGATAAATACACGAGTGAGAATGGTAGGGTGTGAGTAAGATCTACCCAGCAATAAGACGCAGCGAGACTCACAATTATGTCATCATATTTATAACTAGGTGACCTCCCTTGGTAAATTTTACGTGAGCGTTTCCATCAAGCGACGTGAGAAAGTTGTTGAATAACAATATGACATTTCACTGGACCGGTTCAGCATTTGTGTGAAATATTATAAATATTAATTCACAGGAAGAGAATATGATGACATTTTATGGAAGGAGTACATGAGATGGCTGCCACCACACCACACAGAGGTATCACTTGTTTTCAATATGTAAACGCAGAAGAATATCATACAAGACCCTCACCAAATTGGCTAAACCTCATTTTCGAGACTAAAGAGTACGTACTAGGACTCACGAAATCGTAGCAAGACGATTAAAAACAAATCACTAGGTGTTAATGACTTCAAAATAACAGCAACGGCATGAAATAGATCAACTAGATTTAAGAATTGTGGAGTCTGAGCATTGCACAATTCATAACAATCTTAACGATAGTGTAACAACTCACTGAAATAGTTAACATTACCTCAGAGAATGTTCTCGCATTTTACTCCATGTTTGGTCTAGGTGTCTGCTTGTGATCCACAAGGGTAA